TGAGCGTAATCCGCGTGTTAGGTGCCGCATTGCGGAGCGCTTGCTTATAGCTGTTGACTACCTGGAAGCCAACTTGCGGCTTCGGGCGTCCCGGTATTCAGCTGTGGAGATGGTGAATATTTCATGGGCGGCGGTGACGGCTACACGCACGCGAAACTGTTTTCGCGAGGTTGACTTCGTCTACATCAGGCCCGATGCCGAGCCTGAAGCTTCCGAACAGGACCACTGCGGCGGCAATTTGTGGCAGCGCGTTGTCGACTCCAACCTGTCAGAGCGGGAAGGACATCTGTTGCGATGGTTTAATTACGGCCAATGATGATGCCGCCACTGCGAAAGCGTGCACGGATTGGGGCACTGTGAATGAAGTACGTGGCGAGAGCGATTTGAAGGAATGGGATTGCGAGAACGACGAAACTTCTGAGCCAGTGCCTGATGCAGCTTATGCCACGGGCCTCGGCGAACGACCACCCTGCCGTTTTAAGTGAACTCGAGACCGCCCTTACCGCTTCTGCTCTTCGAAACACGTGCTTCACGGACTTTTGGGGGCAAAAAAAGTTTGTGTTTTCACTCGCAACTTCTTTAAAAGCTGTGTTTCATTTAGTATGAACTTCGGGATACAACAAACGAATGCCGCGTCACGCTCGGGTTCGTTATAAGCGGGCTCGACTGTATACCCTCGTCGTTTTCTCCGACACGGCGCAGAAACCACGCACGAAGGAGGAAAAGAAGAGCAACAGGTTTATTAACCCAAGATGCAGCACGTGCGACACTCGCGGGCTTGCAGGCCGTGTAGGGAACTCCGCAACACCGAGCAAGTACGCTTGCCTAGGGCGCGACGACTCCCGCACAAGGGCCGAAGTCGAACGCACGAACGAGAAGCCGCCTGCTTAGCAGCGCGTCAACCCCTCGTGAAGGCCTGAGAGCATCTGCCGCGACGAGCGAATCGTCGGGCGCAACATAGCTCGTAGGAGAGGAGGATGTCATGCGCGGCCCAAAGGGAAATGGCGCTGCGTTGTGACGTAGGCCCGCACAGCGCGCCAGCGAAGTGTGCCCTGACATGCCAGCGCGGGAAAGAGCCGACGGTTGACTGGCGCAGACCAAGAGGTGCTTTGGCAGCCATCTTGGCGGATGCCGGTGCTTATGCGCGCCCGGGCTACGCTGTCGGTGCGCGCACAGCAGCTGGGGAACGAGGCACCAGGTAGGAGGGCGCTCTCGATTCCCGCAACAACTGCGGACGACGCCTTATGAACAATTAGAATAGTTCTTTTTCTGTGGTTCAAGCGTGCACAGAGTTCCAATTTGCCCATAAGGGGACAGATTCTCGAGTAGAAAGCTCGAGAGATCGCCATGCAAATGGATGTTGAGAACTTCGTTCTAAGCGACGAATGACTCAGCCACTTCAAAACACCCCATGGCCTAGTCTTCAAAGCAATCTCACGTGAGTGAGCTGCCGTCGACAGGGACATTTGCACCGACTGGCACCAGGCACGGCCTAAGGAAATTTTGATGACCTTTGAGCCACGAGACGTCTTCAACGTCGACGAGATGGGTCTTTCTTATAAGGCGTTTCTATCAAAGACTCTCACCTTCAAAGTCCAAGCTTGTAGTGGAGGAAAACACAGTAAAGATCGCATCACTGTGCTGGTTCGTGCAAACATGGCAGGAGATGAGTAATTGAAGCTGTTGGTAATAAGAAAATGAAGGCACCCACGTTGTTTCAAAGGCGTTCTATACCATCCCATTGCGAACCGTGGGAACGGAAGAGCGTGGATGACCATGGCTATCTTCAGAAACTGGCTATATGGGAGGAAGATGCAAGATTTATGAGGCAAGGCAGGAAGGTTGTATTCATCGTGGATGATTGCCCAGCCCACGGTCAGGTTCAAGTACTCCAAGGCGTCACTCTAGAGTTCTTGCCATCCAATGCAATGGCAGTGATCTAGCCAATGGATGAAGGGGTTATTCAGAATATTAAAGTTCATTACCGCAGACAATTGCTCCATCAAATTCTGCATAGAGCAGGCAGTAGAAATGCTACAGCATAGATTTATTGGCAGCCATCCACATTTTGGCTTGTACCTGGGAGCAAGTGAAGGCAACAACAATACACAGATGCTTTCACCATGCTGGCTTTCAAGCGCAAGAAAGTAGTACCTGATGAAGAAGAAAGCCCTGCTGATGCCGACATTGAGACAGTATTCAGTCAGGTCGTACCCTCTGCCCCTTTCACACTGCAGCACTACGAATCAATGGATCAAAATGTTTCTACCTGTCATGAAGAGACTGTCGAGGAAATGATTGCCGAAGTGCAAGATGAGGATTAACCTTTCAACGATGAATGTGATGACAATACTGTCAGTGCAGTGGTGCCACCACACCGATCGATCAGCTAAAGAGGCTTTGTGACTTTTGCAGCGCTATTTTGAGCATGAGGCTTGTCCAGAATTTCTAGCTAGCTTGTTAGGCATGGGTGCGCACCTTGTGAAAAAAACAGCTCAATCTTGCCAAACAAACCACTCTTCACTCCTTTTCTCCTACTCATCCTTAGAGTAATGGGAGGTTTGTGCAACATGAATAAAGGTCTTGGTCCACTAAATAAGTGTACTTTGCTTAAATGAAACTTCTGATAAATGGAACAGTTTTATTGATCCCCTTCGAGTTCCATTTAAGAGGAGTCAACTGTACTTTTCTTTTCTTGTAAGACTGCCGCATTTTCGAGTGGTGACCGCGTCATCGTTGCAAACACGTTGTTAAAAGCAGTCTACCTGTTGCCAGTAGCCTCCATTGCGCGGGTGGCGAGCACGTTCACCGCTAACATTCGTTTTCTGTTGTTCGTTGACACGCAGCGTACTCCACTGTGACGACCCGTCTGCCGTTCACGCACAAGCGCGGTCGTTTCATCGGGCGTGAAGAACCGTGGCATCGGCGCATTTAGCGATAAGACTGTGCTTCCATTCCGTCGCTGCAAAGATTGATATCTCTCGTAGCTTCACTTCTGCTTTTCACTTGCCGTCCTCAAACTGATGAGGCTTCAAAAAACACTGCCATTTTCAGTGCCGTTGGGGGCAACCGACAGGCTCGTACGTGAGCTAGGCCTACACCGGTGACTCGTTGACCGTCGCAAGTTCGTTATCCTCATTGTCGTGAGCCATAGCGCAGCTCTTTTTGAAGTTCACGGCGAACGAACAATCGCCACACCCGCTTCACGAATTAGTGTGGCGCGAAACTTCTTTACTGCAGCAGGCAGTCGACAGCACCATGACAAAATGGCGCATGTTCGTGCGCGTCACGATGGTGAAGCAGACACTGGAAACACCACTTGGCCAATCGGATGCCTAGGTTTTGTCTAGTGCCCCAAGCAGCCAATTGAATCACGCGCCAGTGCTTCTCGATGACGCGTTTTTGCTAAAAAACCAATGAGTAATGCGAGCCAGCGGTGGCAGGAAATTGAAGATGAAGAACGAACCTTCCAAACGAGACCAAGATATGACCACGATAGCTCTCGTGTACCGGCAATGGTTCGGCGCGAAAAAAGCGAGATTTTAGCCTCTATTTGCGCTCGCATTCATCTCGCAGAGGTGTTATAAATTAATTTTGCATCAGAAATAGTGACGCGAGAAGCTAGAAACTTCTCAGATAAGTGCATAAATAGGTATAGATTCCAGAAATGTCAGCTGCAAGAAGTAGTCTTTCTTGCGATTTTTGGCCCTCTAAGACCAGTGTCCCTCTTAAACATGTGCTACGCAGGACGCATTCGACCGATACAATAGCTAGACAGCTGCATGCGCTGGAGCATGGGAGCTGAGCAGCTGGACGACACTTCAGCATTGATTCAGCATCAATTGTTTTACAAGAGAAAATAGGGAGAGCTTTGGGCTACAAAAAAGATTCATTGCGCTTTTCGCTAGCTAATACAATCATGCAAAATTTTGACTGTTATAGCTCCAGTGACTGTTTTATCCCACGTAATGAACCCTCCCCCAAAATTGACGTCAACTTTTATAAGGGGTGGGGGGGGGGGGGTCATTATGCAAGGAAAGGTAACTTGCTTATTTAGGAGTAGTTACTGCCTGTCGTGTTGCCAGTATTATGTTATTGTAATGGAAACAGACTTTTTTTCTATGACATCGGCTTGCGGTTTTTCTCTCCTCTCGGGGACCGTGTAACCATTTTTAAATTGCCAGTTTTATGTTATTGGAATCGAAACACTTTTTATTTCCATAAAGTCTGCTTGTGCGTTTTTTTTTTTTTGCCTCTAGGGGACCATGTTATCATTTTAAACATAATGAATTCATGCTCTTTACTTTTTTCATGTCAAATCATTACAGCCGCTATAATAACTCTTAAGGGGCTCCAGGAAACTCTTCTTACCCGTGTACTAACTGGCACCAATAACTTTGAAGTGCAGAAGAAATGGCAGCTCTCTCGCGTGGTTGCTAGGGGGAGGAATGACACTATACTATAGCCTGCAGCGCAAAGGCTGAGATGTGCTGGGTAGAAAACTTTTAAGTTTAATAGCAACGCAATTCCTCCTAAAGGAGTGTTGTTAGCGAATAACAAAGGTTGCACGACTTTTCAGTTGGCAGTGCAGTTACCTTTTTGAGAAGGAAATTGGAAAATATTGTGGAAAAGAACTCGTGACTGCTACTGCCCAAGCTTGCACCGAAAATTTCTGGCACATGCAGAAGGTGGCATTTATGTGGTTTCAGTCTTGCCTGTTGCCTCTCCCGTGATGATGTGTTTTGCGACTTTCGTTCTCCTGAATGTGCACAGTTGAATGAGAATTGAATCACACTGAGGAGACAGCACAGTTGCAAAGTTCTAGGCAGCGAGCATTCATAGCCTGGTCTATCCTTTCTTTGGGAGGGTTAGTGGGTGGGTAGTTAAACTTGCAGAATAATGTCCCCAAACAACTAGGGCCTCTTTTGTATTTGCCTGTAGCAACTGCTCTGGAAAAGTTAAGAACATCCCCAGATGTTTCTTACGCTGATTCCTTTCAGTAAGGTTCCATCGTCGACAGTCATCTCCAGCAGTCCCGTGGGCCCGCTGGGTCCTTCCCCGGTTGCCAGCAAGGACGTCTCTTCTGCGACAGCCGGCACAATGCCACAAGCACAGCCACAACAACCGTCACAGCCACAATCTCAACAACAGTCACTACCGTCACAGCCGTCGGCAGCAGCACCACCCAGTGCCTCCCTGCCGCGACCTCCTGGCATACCGGCGCCCAAGGAACCTCCTCAGGGACTGGGAAACAGCGTGCCCCCGACAGCGAATGCATTGGGTGCGGCTCCTGCGTCCTCTGCGACCTCGGTCGCAGCATCTGCAACCTCCTCGGCCAGTCACAAGGTGAGCGGCAGTACCGGCTTTTCGCCCACAGTGGCAACTGCCTTAGTGGTACGCCTATGTTTCACTTCGGCTGTACTGATAACTTATTCTTTGAGCATTCTGTTGTAAGTTTAACCATCATGGGTTCGTTGAAATAGCTTGTGACGATCAGTTTCATTGTTGCATTTTGAAACATTACACAGAAAGAGCATCACCCTATTTTTGCATATTTCAGTCTCTTCTTTGAAGGCAAAATTGTGCCTGTCTTAAAAGGTGGATGAATAGTCATGTTTTTCAATACCTATAAAAGAGAAGTGTGAAAAGAAAAAGACATTCTGAGGAATTTCGAAAAAAGCGGAAGTCTGCTGCAACGAAATGACTGCGAAAATGGGTGTTTGTTACTTGTGTAGCCATTTTGTAAATATACACTCATACCTAGAAATGATGAAATACAGTATTACCTCGTTACAACGAATTCGCTTTTATCAGACATTCGGTTACAACATACTAATTTGCAGTGTTATGCCGATCTTCCTATTGGTCTCATTGGTTGAGCTTCGTTTATAAACTACGAATGGCTGGGGTCTGCTACGGATCGGCAAGATTAGCGGTTCTAAGGAGCGAACGGCCAATGTGATTAGTTGCTTGCGACGAAACACATTACGGCTTTCTCGCTTGCGCATACCCTTTAGCGCGAAAGTCTTGCCCGCTAAGTTTGAATGCAGAAATCGGTCTAGCCGCGACTTCGAGCAGAGAGCATGGCTGCGGTTCCAGATGTTGGTTCCCGATGTTTCTAAGTATGACATGCTCGATTTCCAGCACAAAAATTTGTCCCGTGGTGGTCTTCGTCACCATCGAGTCAAGGCTATGACAATCAGTTTGTGAGACGTGCTCGTGCGATGTTCGCGACGAGTACTGCGCGCAGTCACAATCTGAAGACTGAACTTTCGCTTGCAGCTGCCTTAAGGGGTGACACGGGTCTTAGAAGGCCAAAAATCGCAAAAAAAAAAAGGACTTTATGAAGCTGGCATTTTCGGAATCTGTACCTATTTTTGCACCTATCTGAAGTTTCTAGCTTCTCGTGTCATTATTTCTGGCGCAAAATTAATTTATAACATGAATGTCAGCGCAAAATGACGCTGAAATCGCGCTTTTTCCACGCCGAACTGTTGCCGTTACACACGAGCTATCATGTCCATCTTGGTCTTGTTTGGAAGGGTCGTTCTTCATCTTCAATTTCCCACCATCGGCTGGCTCGCCTTGCTTATTGGTTTTTCAGCAAAAACATGTCATCGAGAAGCACTAGCGCCCGATTCTATTGGCTGCTTGGGGCACATGTGGCAAAACCTAGGCGTCCGATTGGCCAAGTGGCGTTTTCGGCGTCTGCTTCACCATCGTGACGCGCGCGGACACGCACCATTTTGTCATGGTGCTACTGACTGCCTGCGGCAGTAAAGAAGTTCCGTGCTACAGTAATTTGTGAAACGGGTGTGGACTTTAGAATGAGCCCGGCTATGGCTCAGGACGAGGATAACGAACTCGCCGCAGTCAACGGCGGTCGCCGAGTCACCGGTGTAGACCTAACTCACATATGAGCCCGTTGGTTGTCGACAACGTTACTGTTTTGCAGCCTCGTCAATCTTTTGACGGAATGGAAGCGCAGTGTTATCGCTAAAGCTCTTCACTGGCCTAGTGCTGGACTACGTTGTTTTGAGTAACTACTGTGCCGGCTGTAAGCGTGGACCGAAGGAAGACGACCGGGCATATCAGGCTTGACAGGACAGCCATGTGTGCCAAAAAAAAAAGTACAAAAAAAGCTGGCAAAATGGAAAGTACAGGCAGCTGTGCTCCTATTTGAGAGGTCCCTAAAAAAATGGCGGCCTGAAGTACACGACAATCTACTCAGGTGGGGACAGCCGCACCTTTCTAGCTTTGCAAGAAGCGGACGTCTACGGCTTTATAAAAGTACAAAAAGAGGACTGTGTCAATCACGTTAAAAAGCGTATGGGCACTGCCCTACGCAATTTAGTAGCAAGACAAAAACGTGGTGCCTGTGAAACCCTTGGAGGAAGGGAAAGCTCACCGGGGACCTCATCACTAAGTTGAGTTCTTATTACGGCTGGGTGCTTAAATCTCACAAAGGAGATGTTGACGCCATGCACAGAGCTGTGGTGGCGACTTACTATCACGTCACTTCTAATAATAGTGAGTTGAATCACAGCCTGTGTCCTACAGGCCCAGACTCTTGGTGCAGGCAGAACGCAGCTGCTCCCAAATGGGAGCCAGCTCCGAGGCACCATTACAATTTGCCTCAACATGTGTGCAAGGCTCTTCTGCCAGTATATGAGTGCCTGCCTGATAAAGGGCTTCTAGAAAGGTGCCAAAGAGGTAAAACCCAGAATAGCAGTGAAAGTCTTCATTCTATGATCTGGGCTTTGGCGCCTAAGCGGCGCCATGCTTCACTGTTTGCGGTTGAAGCTGCAGTTGCGGAGGCAGTAATGAAATTCAACGGAGGCAACTTGAGTTTGTCAACAGGCATCCTCGTTCGGCAAGAAAAAAAGTTTTCACTCTCGCAGATTGCGAATGCGAATCAAATGCCGCTCAATTTTGACATGCCGCACCGCACGTCAGGGCAACAGGTGCAAAAAAGCAGCGGTGCACAGTCATACTCGCTGTTGACGGGCGGAAGTTGCCACCTTTTGTAATTTTTAAAAAGACCCTCCCGAAGGCAAAGTTCTCCCCCTGGTCTTCACGTACGAATGCAGGAGAAGAGGTGGATGACCGCTGATCTGATGGTCGACTGGGTTAAAACTGTTTGGGAACGCCACACTGGCCCACTTCTGTACCCATCATTGCTAATCGTCGACAGCTTCCGCCGTCATCGCGTCGACTCATTTCGGATGAAGCTGGAAGATCTACAGACTGATTAGGCCGTTATTCCTGGCGGCCTGACATAGATGCTGCAGCCTTTGGGCATTTCCTAATATAATGTTCGGAGGCTGTATGCAAAATAGAAAGCCGGAGACAAAATACGGAAGCCGTCTGTGGAGCTACTTTGCATATGAATTACCCAAGCATGGCTCATGATTTCCCGAGAAATCGTAGTCCGCAGTTTCAAAAACAATGAGGATTTCCAATCGCTTGGACGGGACCGAAGACGACACGGTGCACGACAGCGGGGATAGGGACGATCTCAAAGCTGACGGTGATCCAGATGATGTCGTTATCAGTGACTCCAGTTTTGACTCTGACTCTGAGTCGTCCTGCCAAGAGACTTTATTAGCAGTCAAGAGGCTTTATTTTCTAGTGGATTTAGGGCTGAAAATAAATCTTGCTTTGTGTTGAACATATGGTGTTACTGTTGAGATAAGTGTTAATTAGTACTTCTCAAAGCTTGTAGTTGCTGGTGTGAGAACTTTGATTTGCAGCCCCTCCGTTTTCTTTCCTATTTTTCTTAGCACTCTGTACGTTTCCAAGAAAAATTATCCCCTCCGTAATTCTCACACCCACCAACTTTTCATACGTTTTTGCCAAAAAAAGTGCGAGGATTATGCTGGTAAATACGGTAAGGGCTGAAACCGCTCCTTGTTGCATGTCTTAATAGGTTCAACTGTAGCACTTCCGAAAAATTAAACAGAAGTATCCGGGAGAACTGTTGATGGTAACGAGACATTTTTTGCGGGGCAACTGATAGAAAATTGGACATGTTTCGTTATGCTTTACAAGCAACATGCACTGGTGAGCTGTTAAACCCTTTACAAAAGAATGCATTGGCAGGCAGTTCTGGTCTCTTACAGTAAAAGCTCGTCAATTCGACACCCGTTAATTAGGAAATTCGGATAATTCGGACGGCTCTATTGGTCCCGACTAAAGTGCATGTTAATCTATGGGACCAAACCTTCGTTATTTCGTCGGAATTCGGCTCCGCACCGCTTAATTCGGACAAATGCTGACGGCTGCTGCTACACAAAGGTGTGATAAAGCAGCGCTGGCACCACTGGAGTGAAACCGAAACCTGAGTGGCATCGCCATCATCATCTAGTGGGGGCGATTGCAGCGTCGCCGAACGTCGGCGTCTTCTTTCTTCTCCACTCAGCGCCTCCGACGCCATTTTCCCTTGTGTTGTCGTGTCGGAACCATCTCTTCTTGTGGAGTTCTCTTTTTCTTCCATTGTGACCGTAATTGCATGCCACCACCATCGTGCGCTACAGTGATGGCAACGCCGAAAAAGCGGCAGAACTACGACGCGAAGAACTTGGCAACTAAAGTGGAAATTTTGGAAGCACTGAAGAACGGCGAATCGCGACGGCAGGTTATGACCAAGTACAACGTGAAGCGGAGCACGTTGGGAACGTACGTGAAAAATGAACAACAGATTCGACAAGCCTTCGAAAGCGAGAAGTTTCATGCCTCTAGAAAGCGGTTGCGAACCGCAGCTCATCCCCAGCTCGAAGAAGCTTTGCTCCGGTGGATTACTGACTGTCGCAACGCGCATCTGCCTTTGAGCGGGCCTCTCGTCATGGCGCAAGGTGAGAAGTACGCTGCAATTATGAACATTGAATCGTTCAAAGCGTCAGAAGGGTGGTTTGCGAGGTTTCGAGAGACACGAACTTGTCAGGAGTGTGTGCGGCGAAAAGGCCAGTGTTGACGAAAGCGTGACCACCGAGTGGAGAAATGTGAAGCTGCTGGAGCACATCGCCGCATATGAACCACGTGACGTGTTCAATGCAGATGAAACTGCTCTATTTTTCAGAGCTCTGCCCGACAAGACGGTGACTTTCAAAGGGGACACGTGCATTGGTGGCAAGAAGTGCAAGCAAAAGATAACTGTGCTTCTTGCCGCCAATATGACTGGCATGGAGCGCTTGCCACTACTTGTCGTCGGGAAGGCGCTTAAGCCACGTTGTTTTAAGAACGTCAAAAGCCTTTCTGTCGAGTACACAGCGAACAGGAAGGCATGGATGACATCGGACATTTTTCGCGGCTGGCTGCAGCAGTTGGACCGGCACTTCACGTCGAAGGACCGCAAGATAATTATGGTTGTTCACAACTGCAGTGCCCATAACTGTACAGTCGAACTGAAGAGCATCAAAGTAGTTTTTTTGCCGCCCAACACTACGTCTGCTCTTCAGCCGATGGACCAGGGTATCATTCACTACGTGAAGTCGAAGTACCGCAAACACCTGCTAGAGCGAATGATCCTATGCTCAGAAGCTGGAAAGTTGTATCAAGTGGACTTACTCGGCGCAGTGCACATCATCGCCCACGTGTGGAAAAACACTCCGCCGCAAGTCATCGCCAACTGTTTTCGGCACAGCGGTTTTGTGAGGCCCGAACATGCAGCAGTAGCTGACGATGGCATCGAGGAGGTGTCAGCAGAGTCCACCGACGATGACTGACGACTTTCGATGCTGTCCTTCCCTCAGATGTGACCTTTCAGGACTACATCGCGGTTGATCATGGTGTCGCCACGAGTGGTCTCCTGACCGATCAAGGGATTATTAATGATGTCACGGGCGCCCATGAAGACCACGATTCCGACGAAGGAATTATGCGAGAAGATACAGCCGCGACCTCATCGCACCTCACGGGAAGTCCCGGAGGCGCTGTTAATATTAGAGTACGCTTGCCTGAACACTCCCGACAGCTTGCGTGCTGTTGGCCATTTTGAACAGTTAAGAACAATTGTGATGTCAGCCGGAATCTGCGTGAAAACGCAGACAACAATTACAAAATACTTCAACAAATAAAGGTATGCTTCTGCAGCTTGATTTTAAATGTTGTTTTCCCTGTTCATTCGTTAATTCGGCATTCGGTTAATTCGGACATTTTTTCCGGTCCCGTGAAATCCGAATTAACGAGCTTTTACTGTATAAGCGGGCTACCAATGTTTGGATTTCCTTATTAATGCCAATTTCAATGTAGGTGCCCTAGTGTCTGTTATGAAGAAGGTCAGTTGTAGAGCCCTTCGACATTACTTTATGCGACTGGGGCTTGGGAAATCGCAGTTGTACAGACATTGTCGGCGGCAACCGCTCAGTTTTGAAGTTGAGCAGGGTGAGCAGCATTCTCGGGGTAATAAGATTTTTGTGTGTTCAGCTTTTTGAATATACACTCAAACCTCAATATAATGAACCCCTGATATAAAGAACTATCAGTTATAATTAAAGTAAGTGAAAAATAGTCTTGCAAATTATATAAAGTGTTAGGAGTATACCTTTGAAATGAATCAACAGATATATTTAGCTTTTTTTTTTTTTTCATGTAAGATGCAACTTTGTTATAATGAGGTTCGAATATGCGTCTAATTGTTCATCTGAGTGCTTTGAAGCGCAAGTGCTTGATGCAAGTCTTGCGACTTTCTGCAGCCTGGCTCTGTGATGACCCCTGAGCATCTGCTGCTCCAGTCTCAATCTCACTCTGAGCGCAGCAAACCTGTGTCGTCCTCATCTGTGGCTGGTCCACAGTCCAAGATGTACACCGGTGGAGCTGCCACACAGAGGAACAGCCAAGGGCTAGAAGGTGGGGGTTTTCTTCGTCCCACTTTTCCACATTGCATACATCCAGTGTCACCTTTTTGTTTTTTCCTCTCTCTCTCTCTCCCTTTCTTTTTCTTAATTTAGCACAGCTTGAAAGAAACCCAGCATAATGGGCTACATACTTGTTGACTCTCGGTTGCACTAATGGTTCAGCATGGTTCTGCAGTTCGCCATGTTAGTTCAGTGGCTAGGGTGCTCAGCTGCTGACCCAATAGTCGCTGGCTCGATTCCGACTGCGGCTGTTGCATTTTGGTAAACTCAAAATGGCCATTCTACTGTGCGTCACTTTTCGGCCCCAAGACCAGTCTGCCCGCTTAAGGGGTGACACTGTACTTAAGACGAAATGCCAGATATTTTCATGCGTTCATAAAGAAAATTCACTGTGTGATCGAGTTTTTGATGCTGAGTTCAAAAATGTTATTATTGTTCCTCTAAACCAATTAGTTTGAGATATCCTAAAATTATTTACCTATTGTTTCCTGGTATAATGATACAAGACATTTGTATTGCAATGCTACTATTTACACATGGCCTGTGTACTGATGAACATAAGCTACACAACGGTAGGAGTGCTTTTTTTATTTGATAATGTTAGCAAGGTTTGTTGCACCTTGCATTTCAGTGTTGCAGATACACATGCTCAAATTTCAGGCAAAAATTAAAATCAGATACACATGCTCAAATTTCAGGCAAAAATTAAATTCTTTCAAGATTTCCATCAAAAATTCACACCTACCATTGTGTAAACTAAAGAGCTTTTGTGTAAACTAAGAGTATTTAGAGCTGATAGTTTTATGTGATATGCATTTCTCACTGCTGAAAACAAATATGCAATTAGTTTTCAGCTGTCACTTCCAGATATTAAAATTTTGACTGGTCCATAAAGTTACATTCTGTCCACTGTTTAGACACCTTTCTCATAAAAGATTGCTGAATATTAGTAAGGCAGTGTTCTGTAAAGAACAGGGAGTGCAAGGAAACGATAATTTTATTTTTAGCTTCATTGGTTCAAGAGTTAGGGCCTTAACAAGTAGACACATCATAAATCTGAGACTTGTTCAATTATATAACTAATTGAATCACTGTTTTTAATGAAATAGTTGAAATAGTTAGTTGCACATTGTACAAGGTTTCAAATGCTGCAAAAGTTATCAAAATCCAACCACTAGATCGAAAGATACTGTGGGCAATGGCCTCGGACCTGATGAAAAATGTTGTTTTGAGAAAGCCCCGCCACGGTGGTCTAGTGGCTAAGGTGCTCGGCTGCTAACCCGCAGGTCGCGGGATCGAATCTTGGCTGCGGCGGCTACATTACCGAAGGAGGGGGAAATGCTGTAGGCCCGTGTGCTCAGATTTGGGTGCTCATTAAAGAACCCCAGGTGGTCGAAATTTCCGGAGCCCTTTACTTACAGCGTCTCTCGTAATCGTATGGTGGTTTTGGGACGCTAACCCCGCATATCAATCGTTTTGAGAAAACAAAGGAAGTTTAGGGACACGATGAGCATGTATGTTCAACAGGTAATAGTGTAAATCAGTGCAGTAATAGTGCTAGAAGCCACAAGGAGTGTAGTCATGGTTCTTTGTGCGCTTTCTTTTCATTGCACGCCAGGTGTTTCCAGGGTTTCCAAAATTTAGATCAACATACAGCGTTTTGACAGGTGCTCGCGCAGTCGTCGGAAACGGGCGCGGCAGCCTTCTACGAGGCAGGAATCATTTCCACTTTCGCATAATCTTTCTTTGCATCTCCGTGAAACATTCAAGGTATAAAAAATGCAATTCAACGCAGTTTGTCCGTTTGCTGTGCCGCGCAAACAGCGAGCACATTAATCTCCGATTGGCTGTGCGCCGCATCCTCCTCCTCCATTCTCGCTCCCCCTCTCGGCAAGCTCCGTACAAATTTCAGTTCCTCGCACTCAGTCACACGTCAGCACAAGTCTCGTAGCGATGCCATATTCCCGACCTTTCTCGGAAATACTGCCAGGCCCGCCACACACACCGCACTTCATATGCTGAAGCAGCTTTCGACGGTGAACGGCGTTCCAGCAGTGGCAGTCGCTTCCCAATCTCGACAAACAGACCGCTCGTGTAGAGAGGCTGACTTCGACGAAAGGTCCTTTTCAATATCACTCGCACGACACGCAGGGGTCACTTTTTCAGTGTCCGAAACCAGGGGAGTGCCGATGCGCAGATCTCGCACGTAATCCTTGGGCCTGGCTATCGCGTCTGTGATCGCAGGAGCCACATTCGCGATAACAGCGCCTCCGAATGTGGCCGTTTTTTGTTTTGTTTGTTTGTTCTTTAATGATTTCGCTAGGGGAAATGGTGATGAAACTGACTTTGAGACCAAATTTACTTGACAAATACGTATTACGTGGCAATAGCATTTTAGGAACACCTTCTTCAGGCCCGATATATTATTTAAAAAATACTTTTTTGAAAAATCAATTTTTTGCTAATTTTTTGGCCTTCAAGACCCGTGTCTCCTCTTAATAAACGCAAAGGTGGAGGAATGCAGCACAAGCTGCCTTGTATCTGTTGCAGTCAGGCAGACTGCCCAGGTGTGTTGCAGTGATGTATAAAATGTTCTCATGTCAAAACTTTATGGAGTGTTGAAGGTCACTTAAGAGTTTGCACAATTGTGGAAGTGACGCCACAGCACTGCAATATACCGCATGAAAGCATAGGCCACAACTGCTTTGCTTTGGCCCAAAGGCAAAACGCAGTTATTTCAATACTTCACTTCTTACAGCAAAGCTCTTTGCCTCGATTTCACCATTTTCTTCAGGAAGTCTTACCTTTTAGCTGTTCAAATCTACCTTTTGTACAGACTCCGGAGATGTTCTTTAGTAAGTGTGTGCATTTTGACCTATGCACACAGGTGGGCTGTCTTCGGCGGGCAAAGTGGAGCAGCCAATGTATTCGTCGGCAGGGGCTGGAGGCCAGCACTACGGTGGTGGGGCCTACCCGGGGGGTGGGGGCAAGGGCCTTGTGGGCTCCTACTTGGCCCACTCTCAGGGCTTCCCATCGGCCACTACTGGGCAGCAGCACTACTACACTGCTCAACAGCCCACGAGTTCCACGACTGCAGCCTTCGGCCAGCAGCAGAGCAATGGTGAGTTGTTGATTGTTCGTTATTCAAACTGCATAATTGATCCTGGTTGTGTGCGCGTAAATTGAGAAAAAACTCTAAAAACTCTTGCGCGTTCTTGCTCTTTAGGGGGGGGACGCGGCTTTGGTATTGCGAAAAATGGCAAAAAAAATCTATTTTTTGAAAATCAAGTTTTCAGTTTCTGAAACCCTTTTTCTGATTTCAAAAATTTTTATTTAAAACCGCACAGAAGTGCTCCAGAAAATTCATTTCACCATCCTACGTAGTGAACCTTTTTTCTGGAAATTGCGAGAAAACAGTGAGTTTCAAAAAATTATACCTTCGCCGATGGCGCAACTGGGAGCTTACTTCTTGGGCTCATCGGAAAGAGCATTTCTTCGTGTTCAAATTTCCTGCCTCAGCTGGCTCCTCTCTTTAAAAACAAGCACACACAAAGGAAATGTTTGAACGTCGTTTTGATGCCCCTGATTGGCTGTGGCCACCATGTTGCTTCAGCTTGCCTTGCCATTGGCCCGAGACTCGCTCCGGGAGATCGTCGTCTGCTGCTTGTGCGTCGCGAGCACATGGCTCTCGAAAATCTCTACTTCGCGACGTGTTCACGGCTCGACGATACGATCATTCAGGATATAATTACGGTTTAGTTAGGAGCTGTAAGTGGATGCACGATCAGATTACTACGGGCGGGCGCGCGGTCTGTGAGCGCAGTGTCTCTTCGGAGTCGTCTTTAGGTCCAACTTCGCTGATTGCGATACTGCGGGAAAGAACGATGCGCTAGCGCACTCGTGGCAATGTGCTTCTTCGCAAGCAACAAAGCACATTACTCGCGAGCTCCTCGGAACCGCAGACGAGCATTTAACGCATCGGCAGCAAACCCCACAGTCAAGCTCGTCAAAGCCCCCTCCGCTGCCAAGGATTGCTCGGAACAGCGGCTAGCAGTTTCGCGCGTCGTCATTCGAAAATGCGATACCAAGCACAAAGCGGGCCCATTTTCGTCATTGTAGCTACACATTTCGCACATCTTCACTGAATGCCGCTGCCAAGTGCATCACGTGCTGGCTGCACTGTCGACACGGCTGCGCACTCCACGGTCATATGAAGGGCTGTAAATAAGCTTTTGTGATGCAATTTAGATGTGCCTGAAGCCATGCTTGGTATCACCACGAGCATTTATGAATGTTCTGATACAACGAAAGCCTTGTAGTATGCGTTTCTGTGACTGGCCGTATGATGAAGCGTTTCACGACTAGAGTGGCAAAAGAGCATGTATAAAGCAGAGGCACGAATTTTTATATGCCCGTCTCGCATCAATAAACAAATTGATGAAAAATTCCTGTGCCACTAGTCTCCTATACATAATTTTCTTATTTGGAAAGAAGGCATAGGCTGTTATAGTGTGAGCCATTTTTTTTTATGAAATAAACCTCTCTATATATAAAAAAAAGTTCAGTGATTATTTGTAATCAAGTACTTAATTACATTAATGAAAGACACACTGGGCAGAGAGATATGCCTGAGAAGTCGAATGCCAGAAGACAAACCTGAGGTCACAATTTTTAGGTGTTTTAGAGACGTAAAAATAAGTTGAAACTTCTCTTTGTTGAATGCTTTTTTTTTTTTTTTTTTGCATTATGCTCAGTCCCTCCACGAGGTTCAATAAAGAAATAAACTGTCTCTCATCAAATATTTGCGGTATCGCTTCAAATTTTCTATGGAAGCACTGCGAGATCATTCTTAGTGACCGTTTCTTGCTTTCTTCGCGCACGTCGTTGAAAGGAGAAAGGTTACGAGGCAAGGCAAAGGGGAAGCGTGGCACCGGTGTAGTGCGTGAGAGAGACCCCCCCCCTCAAGGTGCAGAGCCGTGCTCCCCCAAAGGGCAAGGGCTGCAAGAAATAGCCTTTCTTCAACCACACATTCATTCAACCCAGCGACGGGTTTTTTTTTCCTCCTGTCTTTTCCTTCGCGCGCGGCGTTGGAAGGAGAAGGGTCTTTGCGTAGCAGGATGGAAAAGGGAGAAGCTAGACATGGCCGCATCGCAGATCCGCATTTGAAAGCGAGCAAACATTCCACCGCAGCCTTTTCTTGCCTTCTCATTTCCTTCGCACACAGCGTTTAAGTGTCGCAGGTGCCGCCGCGGGCTTGGGCGGGATGCTGAGAGCATTTTCGAAGCGCGGTATGTTCGAATTAACCGTCGGAAGTGCTTGGGCGTTCGAATTACTGGGCGTTTTCGCCCATTGGAATACACATAGCTTTGACGGGACCTCATCGCGAGTTCGAATTAAGCGGGTTTGAATTAATGAAATTCAACTGTAATTTGTTGTGAATTTCAGGCCACGTATTGCGATTTTTTGCTTGCCTATTCTCAAGAGCCTCTATTACCTATTGGCAGCGTTTTCTGGCCATGCTCAAAAAGTGTTGCAGGGCCCCATATGGTCCGCCCAGTTCAATAGCGAGCCAAAGATTCGGACACTCTTGGGGCTGCGCCACTTGTCCCATTGATGCAATGTATAACCATGGCTGACAGTTTCGAATGTGATATGGGGTGCCCTTCGACTGCCCACATGAAGTGATCAGCCACTTTTGTTTGTTTGCATCCATCTTTGGATAACCTTCAGCAGAGGAAAAGCTGGTTGTCTGGCAGCTGAATTGCGGCAGTAAGTTGAAAGAACTGTTTGCGGACAAATTTTGTTAAGGTCGCGCATTTAGTACAACGAATTGGCCTTTATAGAGCTGTATTTTTCAGTACCCCACTGTATTCACTGGTGTGCGATATTTCATAACGCCATATGTGCATGTGGAAGCAGCTGCATATAAGATGGCATATGCTATAGGCCCTGTATTGTGCATTTGCAGGTTACCAGGGTCCTTACCAGAGCAATGCCTATTCTGGGCCGAGCCAGCCACAGCAGGCAAACTACGGGGTCTCTTCCAAGCTCTCGGCGTCCGCAGGGTTGGGTCCTCACTCGGTGAAGGATTCAGTGCTTGATTCTACGTCTCAGCAAGGAACTGCCAGCCAGGTGGGTTCTCCATTGCTTTGTGTATAATATGGAACATTTCTTGTGCGCTTGAGAGCAAGGATCATAGTAAATCTGAAATGAGAATTTCATATAAAATGCCTCTTATAAGCAGTGCTTGCTTTGAACCCCCATTTTTAAAGTTGGTGATGAGCACTTCTGCCCGCCCATTGATTAGTGCCAGAACGCCTCTCACTATTGAAGCACCTTGCGTAAGCAATAGCGTGTCTATTCGCTCCGCTATCACCTCATTACGGCACGGCCGTTCACATAAAACCGACACAAGGCAGCAAGATCTCAGCAGCAGCATCACAACATCATCGGCTACACGTAAACGTTGCAGTTGTTCTTCAGTGGTGGCGTCGACGTAAGGATGGGCGGAAAAGGTGACTATACGTTCTGGAATGTTGATGACAGCACCGTACTCTCGCAGACAATCCATACCCAAAATCAACTCTTTACAACAGTCCGGTAAAATGACAAAAGTGGCGACGAAGTCCGAATCATCGATTACGAGCCGAGCGGTGCATTTACCGGTTGGCGTCAATAGCTGCCCACCAGCACTCCTTATGCTCGGCCCACTCCACGGCGTCTTGACCTTCTTAAGGGGGGACATGGGCCTTGGGCAAAACATTTATTGCTACTGCTACTAGAGTAATGAAACTTGCAGGTAATATGTAATTTAATGTGCTGATTTCAAATATGCAACCAGTTTTTCTGTATCTCACGAAGAAAAAATTTTATACAACTTTTTCTGTTTTACACTTCTGGGATGACTGGCAAAAAATATTTTACAATAACCAAGCTAAAAATTATATTTATATATTCCTGAATGCTCAATGAGTGCAAGAAGCATAATTTCGTGTTTCTACATTTATTTTATCCCAAGTTATAAAAGTTCAAAAATTTTTATTGAGACATGAATTCTTTGTCTGTTGTTTGCCCAAAATTTCAAAATGTTTCAGGGTGAAGAAACATTGTATTATAGGCATATTGCACTCTTTGGAAGTCTAGCTATAAGACAAAAAAAAAACCCATTAAAATTGGATGATTAGAAGGGTAACAACAGCCACCCAGAAAATTGGAGACGGCCAATAAAAGTGTTTTGAGAAAAGTGGGAAAAACTAATAGACATGTGAAAAAAGCCTTTTATTCTCCTGGATGGGCGAAATTACAACAGCCAGTGGCTCAGAAGGCTCCTGGAGAATAATCTGGGTGGGGCTTTCCTCTTTGCCTCCGCTTTGCAGCTGCCTGAAAGGCTGCTGATGACCCCCTCTTCCTTTCTGCATTGATAGTGCGTTGGGAGTCCTTTTCATTAGCCCTTCGGCTACCCTTGGCGGTTTGCTCTACTTGGAGCTCTCGCAATATGCTTGAGCTGGCATTGTGGGTGCCAAGGTTGAACCTCATCACAGCCTCTCCAACTGCTGCCTCGACTGCATATAGTGAGGCATTTTTGTCTTTGGGCGCGAGGCTCCAAATGACCGAATGCAGTGCCTCATTAGCGTTCTGAGTTTGTCCTCTCAGGCACCGCTGCAGCAACTTCTTGTCAGCCAGACGCTCAAAAATGGGCCGCAGTGCACTGCTGACCGCTTCTGGCAAGTTGTACCTGCTTTTTGGTGGTGGTTCGTTTTTTGCCATGGCCGAGTTATATTTACACCATGAGTCAGGACCATCCGGACAGAAGTTATGATTGGGCTTCTCATCTGTCGACGTAATGTGATAGAATGTGGCCCACACTGCGTTGTGCATTTTATCTAAGTCTCCAGCAAAAGACTTGATAGCCCATCCATAATAGCTGGAGATCTTGGTGATCAGGTCTGCGGTCAGCCGTCCTTTACCACTAATGCGCTGCGCATCACCTGACTTGTGCTTTTGCACAAGGGTGCGAAGCGCTGTGCCCATTCGCTTCTGAATGTGGTTGGTGCACTCTTCTTTTACCACAGGAATAAAGCCATAAACTTTGGCTTCATCAATGGCAATGAATGAGCGGCTATCACCATCACAGAGCATGGTTGTATACCTGAGGCCATGCAGAGAGAGTGAACGTTGAAACAGAATCTTTGCTGCCTCAACTTCCATTTGGCCTGCCTTGCAGCTTGTGTTTTTTTGGCATAAGTGCTGTGCCTTCCATGCAGCATAATCTGGGCTATCTGGCTGCGGCCCACACTCACAGCCGAGGCAGAAATTGGAGAGAACCACGTAATCTAGCACATATCCTGTAAATAGCTCAATCACGGTGGCCACACCAATGTGAGAAGAGTGTCCACGTGTGTGCCATGAGCCATCTAAACAAACAGCAATGTTACCCGGATTTCCAAAATTCAGGTCACTGTACAGCTGTTTCACTTCGGCAGCACACTTTGCCAAGTTCTCAGAGCATGCTTTTGCCGTAGCTGGGTTCAGCTTGGTCTTCAAATAATGCTGGTAGGTCTTATTGTGAAGACCTCTGTGAGAAACTTTAATGGCAGAAAAAATGTCATTTAGGGCAGTCTGCCCATTCCCCGTGCTTTGCACCGCCCGTGCAGCGAGAATATTTATTTCGAAGGGATTGCACGTCGCCGAGCCAGCAACTCGCCGCGAGCTCCACTGCGATCGCAGTTCACCGCAATTGCTGCACGACACTGTCAGTTTCACGGCGATGCCGTACTCACGCGTGTCCCTCTCAATAGTTAGATCACCACGGCACACACGGCAACTACCAACCTCGAACAGGTTATTTACAACGTCCAGGTCAACAACCGTATACGCCGTGGTTGAACTCGGGGCACTGTCACTCGCGACGCACTTCATTTTCCTTTCCGTCGCCGATACTGACGCTAGCTGGGAAAGTCTCTGCTGCGTTTGTTGCTCGCGCAAAGCACAATCTGCACTTGTTAAAAAAGTCGAGTCCAATCTTGTGCGCTCAGGCCGCGCAGCTCCGGTGTCCTGCACGGCCGCTGCCGCAACCGTCGGGGCGAAGTCCAGGGCGTGCGCGTGAGTCGCCGGCTCGCGTTCCGCCGTTGTCGTGTTATCTGATGCCGGTCCAAGGTGCACAGCGGGCTCCGTCGAAGGCAGCGATGCATTTCTTCGCTTCGCAACACGCTTCCGTCGCGATTTGCCGAACTTGCGCACGGTGCGAAATTTCCGATAACCGTTAGGCATGGCGCACGACGACAGACGACAATGGTCTCTTTCAAAATGACGGCAGTTCGTTTTCGCTGCAAGCAGCCGGAAACAACCACGGACCAATGAGGAGGCGCACTTTTGTCACGTGGCAGCTGTGGGCCAATGAGATAGCTAGGTTTCGTTTTCTTTTTTGTTTGATTATTCAGTTACAGCGTATCACTGAAAACTCGCGTTTGGCGGGAAAAAAAGGGCGAAGGATGCAGTTTCAAAGGAGGCCAAGATGGCTGCGCTCCGTGGCACGGTTGCAAATCGGCGGCGGCGCGAAACTGATCGTTTTATGGCGTTTACCGCGAGCGAAACTAGAAAGTTCGCGTAGTAAATATGATCGTCCGGGAAAACTATACTGTTTACAGGCCTAGAGTTTTGCGAGAACGTGCAGGAAGATGTCCTGAATGCAACAACAACAAAATTGAAAAATCGTTTTTTTCGCTATTTTTTCGCTTTCAAGACCCGTGTCCCCCCTTAACTTTCCCGCCTCAGCTGGCTCCTCCCAACAAGCGAGCAAAAAGCAAATGTTTGAAGATCGTTTTGAGGCCCTTGATTGGCTGTTTCCGCCATGTTGCCTCAACTCGCCTCGCCATTGGCCCGATGCTCGCTCCGGGAGATCGTCATCTGCTGCTTGTGCGTCGCGAGGACATGGCTCTCGAAAATCGCCACTTCGTGACGTGTTCACGGCTTGATAATCACTTAAGATATAACTACGCTTTAGTTACGAGCAGTAAGCAGATGCGCGATCAGGTTACTACGAGCGGGAGCGCAGTCTACTAGCGCCGCGCGTCATCGGAGTCGTCGTTAGCCCTAACTCCGCCGACAGCGAGACTGCGGGCAGGAACGACGAGCTGGCGCATTCGTGGCAACGTGCTTCTTCGCAAGCAACGAAGCTGAAAGCGGCGGCACGATCTGATTACCACGAGTGGCCGCACCGGATGCACGATCTGATTACCACGAGTGGCCGCACCGGATGCACGATCTGATTACCACGAGTGGCCGCACCGGATGCACGATCTGATTACCACGAGTGGCCGCACCGGATGCACGATCTGATTACCACGAGTGGCCGCACCAGATGCACGATCTGATTACCACGAGTGGCCGCACCAGATGCACGATCTGATTACCACGAGTGGCCGCACCAGATGCACGATCTGATTACCACGAGTGGCCGCACCAGATGCACGATCTGATTACCGTAATTACTCGAATCTAACGCGCACCTTTTTTCCGGTTAAGCAAGTTCATAAATCGCATGCGCGTTAGAATCGAGTACGAACATAAAAATTACGGTCAATCTATTGCCATTGGCAAATCCAAGATGGCCGCCCCCTACGTGCGTCGGCATGGCGCGTCCGCCGTTTCTCCCTATGTGTTTCCCATGTGCGGCACTTCGTACGTGTGCTGAGGAGTTCGTCATCTAGTAGTGCATTAGCATCAACGGCGTGGAAGGGCCGACTCCAAAAACTCGAGTGCACCACAATGCCGCTTTTAAAAGAAAAGTCATCGCGTGTGCAGAAACGGACGGAAATCAGGCCGCATCGCGGTCGTTCAGAGTTCTCGAAACGTGCGTGCGGGACCGGCGGAAGCAAAAGCAGAAGATTGTCGACAGCAAAGCTTCACGCAAAGGCTTCAGTGGACCACAGCATGGTCGGTTTCCGCAAATTGAAGAGCTGCTCGGCGAGTATGTGCTTGAGCAGCGAGCGGCACAGCGGCCCATGACGACAGAACTGCTCCAAGTGCGGGCTATGCAATTAGTCTTAGAAAAAGGTCTAATGCGGAGCCAGTTTAAAGCGAGCAGGTGCTGGCTAACTAACTTTATGAAGAGAAAAGGCTTTTCCCTCCGA